GAGCCTCGGGCATCCTGGGTTCTGCAGAGGACTATGACCCAATCTCTTTTTTGGAATCTCATCCCACACTTTCTTCCCCTTCCAGCTCCATGAATGCTCCCTATCTGCCTTAATTCTTTTTTTATTTTTTTCTTTTCTTTTTTTTTCCTTTTTCGCTCTGAAGGCAGATTTTTCTGTTTTCTTTCTCCTGTTTTCCTGTTCTACTGCAGTAACATCAGCAAGGCACCGACAACGACAGAGAGCACATCTTCATTTAAGTAACTCCAGAGGACAGGAAAAGGCCTTCCCAGTTTGCAGCCCTGGCAAGGTGGGTCCCAATGTGATGGCAGTGGCATTGAACATGCAGTGTCCTCTGTCACAGCAGAAGGGCACTGGGGCTGGACATGCATGATGGTAAATGGCTGCTCCAATCTCAGAGCCCCTCCACACTGAGCACTCAGTCAAATGGCCCCATTCCAGAGAGAAGGACCAAAGGTTATCTTTCCCAGTATCGTTTTTCCAAATTAACAAACAGCTTTGATTTCCCTGATGTTTTTCAGCTATCGACAAACAAAAGTTTCAGCTGTAGGCTACCGACACTGCCAAAGTTATTAGCAACTGAACAAAAGCTCTTACAGAAGAAAGATTTGGCAGCTACCAGCCCTGCCTACAAATCTAGATATAGGAAACACATTAAATTGTTGCGAATAATGCTTCAGCAGCACGGCTGCGGGACAGTTTGGTCTGGTAGTAACTGTGAAGCCATAACCAAGCAGGCAGTATATACAACAGCTTGGATTAACTCTATTGCAACCTTTATATTCCACCGTATCATCACTCATTTTATTTTCACTAGGAATGTCAGAGAAGACTCCTATCTGAGGTATTTGTGATTCAAGATGATTCCTCAGAGATGGCTTTTGAAGTTCAAAGGTATGCAATAAACTTTTCAGACGGCACTGGTATTTTTTTAAAAGACAAATACGACTTTTCTGCATATGGGTAGGAAAGATTCATCTCACACACCATCCATACGCTGTCCCTCCTGCTAATATGCTACTGGGCACTGGCATGAAATATGTCTGTTGTATAAGGGGAAATAAAAATGTTGCTACAATGTTTACATGCTGAAAAGAATTATTTCATGCATCCAAGCAAAATTATCATTTTGCCATCACCTGTTATCAAAGTTAACAGTTGGGATCGTGCCACTACACAGAGATGCCTAACTCATGCAGAACAGGTAGCAAATAAAACTATTTGCTATTTAGCCAGATGATCATTTAAGCAGTACTTACCTCATCTGCATTTTTTTCTCTTGCAGTTGGTATGCTGGAGAACATCTCACAAAATAAGAAAGGCTGGAGCTGTGTAAATAGGGGCAGCTTTTATCCTGCTGCATTTTAAGTGTCAGGGTATAATACTATATGCTACAAAAGCCTGCTGTTCACTTACAGCTGCAGAGTGTAAACAAGCTTCAAAGCAAAAAGATTTTGCAGGAATTTATCAATTTCGCCTTTTAATTGAAATTTTTTAAGCACTGTAGCACAACACAATGCATTTTGTAGCTCCTATTAAGCACCAGCAAAATTGCTTTTCTATAGTAATACAAGAGCAAATAGGATTCAAGAGAAGTAATCTAATTTTTATCTAATTCCAGTAATGCGATTTTATCAAACCTTAGCTATAGCTGAGGAAATCATAGCGCTAAAATATCCTGCTTCACAAGCCAGCATAAATTCAAGTATTCAAGACTCTTCCTTGATATTTTTGAGATGAATGAGAATATGGTGAAAAAAATCAAATGCACCTTGGCCTGTCAAGCTAGTACTTTGTGTAGTCTGCACTCACACACATATAGCCTTCAGGATTTTTGAATGTGCAAAACAATTTACTCTGTTACTGTGGGACTAAGGTAATAGAAAGAGAGTGGTTCCTCTTAGAGGTATGCAGCTCTCTTCTAGGAAAATCACCATGATTCAGTCAGTCTGACTTTAAAGGTAACGCTGCACTTTTCCTACTGGACCTCACTGTAAGGCAACTGGTGATGGCCTGATGCTTTTTCATCAGAAAAGACATTTCTGGACATAAAAACAGGACAAAAATACCTATGAAAAGTTTTATGGGAGTGAGAACCTGGCTATTCAGAAATGGCTACATCAGCAATAAATGACCTATTTCAAATTCATTCAGACAGTGGCAAGCTTCCTGTTCCCAGCAGTTGGCACACCAGCTATTATATGCGCATCACTTACCATCATGCCTTCACACATACTAATAAGGTCCACATCAGTCCCACTTACATGGGACTGAAAAATACATGAAATTTGAGGAACTGCAAAGGGATAGGAAAGCTCTTTCTTGGCTGGATGCCTAGCAAATACAGTTTAGCAAGTGCTACTATAAGGTCTTGCGACAGGAGGCATGAAACTGCGACAGCAGTAACTATGTTCTTCCTTTCTTTACATGGCACTCTGCATCTGGCACTTACTGAACTACAAAGCCTCCCAATGCCTCATGAGATCATTCTCTCAGCATCATAGATAAGGAGACAAAAACAGGAAAATCAAGGTCAACATTTTTGCACTTAATAGCAAATACAGCCCCGCATTTCATACTTCAGGAAACAAGAAATCCAATTATACAGAAGACCTCAAGAGACGAAGCTCAGTGGCTTAAAAACTAAAACAAAATTCCTTTTATATTCTGTTGATTAAATCTAATACTCCTCCTTACTTAAAGCAAAGGATTATTAGTACAAGGCACCATGGAAAATGAACTGTATTTTTAAAATGTATAAGTTACTTTCCATCCTGACCTCCTAAAGCATGGCCATTGTTTTAAATCTAAAAACTCAATTTTCCACTATTAGAAACTAGGGACATTTAGTTATTTTCATATTCAAAAACTTATTTATTTAAAATCAAGAAAAGGACATTTCAGACTTACTTTGTCCAGGCTGGAAAAGAAGGACAGCTATTTTATAGCACCTTGTAACATTCAGGAATTATTCCTATCAGCAGATCTCATGGAACTTGAAGAGAAAGATTCTACATCCATTTTGTAGAGACAGGGTAATTAATTATTCAGTTTTGACTAACAGGTCATGAGATGCAGTCAAAGAACATTCACTTAACATTTAGCCTGTGTAGTACCTCACAGCCTCATTTATTTATTTACAAAGTGTGTTTATATGTACTTAACTGAAGAATAATGTAATATTTCTTATCACCTTCATGATGGATGGATCACACTATCACTCTTAACCTTGAACAGTGTTATGGAACTTAATATCACAAAGTTATTACTGGTGTTTACATTACACATAATAACTTACCAGCCACTAGCTGCATTTATTTCATGAGGGCACCAATCTTGCATTTCGGTGCAGTACCACTGGTTAATTTTTCTTTTATGACTCCTGAAAAAGCACTGATATTCTGAAATATGCCAGACAGTACTCACTGAAACCCACTACCTCTAAAGAAATATGCCAGTAAGAAATACATTATGATTGTCACAGCTAAGCAATTTAGCAATTTCTAAGACTAAAGGGATTCTGAGTGATTTCATTGTAAAATTAGAAATAGTTAATGTAACACAGAAAAATTAAATTTATAATTGAGATGTCACACAACTCAGTAAAGACTTCACTCTCCACTCAAAATAAAAAAAAAACAAATAAAAATCATGCAAAGGGCAACAGAGAGAAAACAACTGTTGCAAAGGGCAACAGTGCACCAAACAAAAGCACTGGATTTGTCATGAAAAATTCCTTTGGTTCATATATTCATATATATGGCTTTTTGGTTTTTTATTGGAAGCAGAGCCTGAGAAACAGCAGTGCTCAAATTGTATTTTGAAATAGTTTTTTTTTTTTTTTTCGCTATGGCAAGAAGTCAGAAATCCTGCTGATGGGCCAGTTTATAAGAAACAGATGATGTAACTTTGATAAAGCTCTCTTCTGGTTTCACAAACCAATGTGTTTCAGACAAATAGGCAGGAAATGCATTCAGACATTCTGTTTTCTGTGAAAACATGTAAAAAGATCAAGATCCCAAAGAGTGAAGAGAAGCAGACAAGGAGTTAAAGTATTTATCAAGTTACTGTTTGAATACTAAGTCATGTGTTTGTGTTGTGTTCAGGAAACTACATGTCCACTGCAGATAGAAAAGCTTCTCCTTCCTTTAAGTACTAGAGATGCTGGAATTGATAATCATGTCAAGAGAGAAAATGATGCAAGTAAAAGGAAATTATTTATTTATATATCTATTTTAAAATATTATTACAGTGATAGACCATTATTTTAAAAGGAAGACCATCTTATATTCATTCAAAACTAGCCTGTTAAGCATATATTTTTAAACTCTAATTTTTAATACACATAATGAAAGAAAATTATATTTTACAAATAGCTATTTTTATAGATCTTATGAAAAACGTGTTCAAAAATAACTGCAGAAATCTGCCTCTTTAAATGTACAAAACATCATTACTGTGCTGAAGATACCTTTCTGAAAAGCCAAAAATATTTAAGTCAACAGTTGAGTCCACATCAAACCCTACTGAGAGCAGTAGTGACATAAAAATTAAGAGCATTATACAATTTTGTTTGTCTTAATCCAGTACATATTTGTATTTGCTTTAAAAATATTCTACAAAAACTGCTATTACTAAACCTAACATCCTTCCCTATCGGCAGAAAAAAAAATGAGCCAGTGCAATTGTCTCTGTTTTTTAAAGCATCTCCTCTTCTGACTGTGAATCTTCTATTACTCAAAGATAATTTTACCACTAACTTCAAACAAAAATTTTCTTCAGTCTATTGCTGTGTAATCCGTTTTACTCTCATTTGGTTTTCCCTCCTAGTTTCAAAATGAAAAGTATTACAAAATCTTTATTACATTAACCGAAGGAGTAATAACTCAAGTACTTTATCTGACGAGGCTTATGTAGACTGGCTCACTGTAAAACCAAGTGCTTAATCAACTCAAAACCAATTGCAACTAATGCTGCTTGACTTTTTAGTCAGCTATAACCAGTCTAAAACAGTGTGTGTGTGTGTGTCTTTCTGTCTGTCTTCGTCTCTTCATTACTTCCTTTATTGTCCCTTCTGGCACTTCTTCTGGAACGAGCTTTTTAAGAAGGTGCGGTATCCTGGATCATCTACATACTCATTCTTGAAACGGGAACTCAGTACTCTCTGTCTCTTCTTTTCTCCCAGAATAATATCCGCTCCATAAAACGTGTCTTCAAATCTCATGTCAGACGCCGTAGACTAAAACCAGACATTAAATACATGTTAGACTTGGTACACGCTATCATGTTCTGACATATTTTAGTGGAGTTACATGGAAATACAGGTACACTCCACTAGATCACCATGGCACTAACTACATGATTGATTATTCAGTTATGACAGAGTTTTTAGAAAAATGTATAAAAACTAAATATATAGTTTAAACACGCATTTTAAAGTACAATTTTTACTTTCCCAAGTTTTGCATGCTCATAAATTAATTTTTTAGATCTTTAGTGTTCCTTAGAATTGTGACTAATACCAGCTAGGTTTGGTTTTATCCAGAATTCAGAAAATCACACTCGTTCAGGATGCAAAACAGCAACACAGAAATAACACAATTGTTGGATAGCTTCACTCCTAGCAGAATCAAGTATTATCCAAGTATGTGTTTTATTCAGACATGTTTTAAGTGCAATATACCTCAAGGACTTCTGTTAACAAACCTGTATGCTGGCTGATTCACTAAGAGCTGGAATCAACAGCTGTTTCTCAGCAAACTTAAAGGATCAACTGTAACAAAGAAGCAGGAGGGCAAACAGCAATCCATTTGGGAAAAAGCAGTGGCAGAGAGTTTGGAACCAACTTCTATTACTTGAGTCATGGTAAAATTTCCACAAATAGGAAAAACACTGGTTAGAAGAAATTAGTGTCATATATTTGAAGAAGGGGAAACACTGTCTTTATTCAGCATGAGGAGATGAAGGAAGTGTTAAACATACCTTGAGGAATAAATCCATTTTTAATATAACCTGAGGGAACAGCGGAGAATCATGGAAAGGCCTGTGTACAGACTGGATATTGTAGCTGACCAAATTCAGTGTTTTTTAACCTATATCTAATATCTATATAGATTGAATGGTGTCAGATGCAAAAATAAAATACTGAACTATAAAAATATCATTTTTAAAGGAGCATGAACTCAGTTATGTCCATAATGATATTCTTACTGAAATGCAACAGTTTCTGTTCTACAGAACATGTAATTTATTATAAAAGCTTTATGTAAGTAGTCTCCCTAAAAAGAAAAAAAAAATAACCAGTTGAGTTCTGAATATAATTAAAAAATATTGAAGAACGCATTGAATATATCCAGATGGTTTGTTTAACATTTTCCACGTCATCTTTCCTAACCCTAGATAATTAGGACACTGAGAGATGTCTGCACTTACCACAAATAAATGGCCAAAAATTGTCTCAGTAAGGAATATTTGATTACTGCACCTCTGACTGGAAAGAGCTGTCCTAATCTCATTCTATTCCTTCAGTAAATCATGGGCATCCTGCCAGTGGGCACTCACTGACAACCTCATATTTCTCTGTCTCTCTTCTATCCCTCACTTTCCTGCCCCATTCACGCATTAAGACAATCCCTGCCCTTGACACAACCCAAAAATGTGCAGCCTCCTCAAAAGGGATAGCTGTTGAAGACTGACTGAAAGTAGACACTGATGGCAAGAGCAAGCAGGCAAGAAGCAAAAGAAATGGAAGTCTCTGCTTTACTTACCCACACCTATGTGTAATGCTGTGTTAGGCCATCAAACTTATCCAACCTGAATATGCCTGAAGAATCTACACATTACTCTGCTACCATGCCACATACCCAGCTCTCAAGAATCAAATTAATGTCATATAACAGATACGTAATCAGATTTTGTGTATGAGCCCACCACCTTGCAGCAATGACTGCACACTGTTCTCCCTTTCAAAGCTTCATTTTTCTAATAAGAGAGTTATCCTTTTTTTCACATAATACTGAATTATTTCCTCTTATTTATGAGAACAACTTAGCATCTTTATGCTTTGTTGTTAGATTAAGAAAGGTAATTCAACTTACAAGGCACAGTTTTGAAAAAAGAATGCTAAATTAGAACACGGACTTGAGATGAATATAATGCATTTCTGAGTAGAATTAGTATTGAATTGAACTGCACAAACATCTAGCATTAGTGGCAAAGACAGATCTGTTTCCTTCAATATCTGTATGGCGATACTTTCCCTTTTCAAACTTCTGCTCCTCAAGAACCTCAGCTCTTTTCTGAATGGCATACAGTGAACCAGGGGATGCTGTCTGAAACCACAAGAAACTGGACAAATATGAGGCTCTGTCTCACAGACCAGTGAAATGCTGTAAGTTGTGTTAGTGATATTAATGAATTTTGATTAATCAGATGTTCTGTTTTTTAGGACAAGTTAATAGCATTTTTACTAAATTAAAAGCATTTAAAATCTCAAAGCTCTGATGTCATGGTTTTATGATTTTTGGTTATCAGTATTCCACATCATAACATCATGTAATGCACTGGGGGTTTGACTGTTGATGCTCGAGTGCTGGGTGCCTGTCCGGAGGAGAAGAAGAACTACACTCCCCAGGGGCTTTGCGGTCAGCAAGGAGATGTAACTCCCAGCAAGGTCACCTGATGTTCTCTTCTTCGCCTGCTCTTCTTCGTCTGCTCTTCTCCGTCTGCTTTTCTTCATTGGCTCAACTGGACTGCAGTTCCCACCTCAGCATAGTGGTGAGGCCTATCTACCTTTCACACACACTCCCTCTCTCTCATTATATTTTGTTGATACTATACTTAGTAAATTAGTTTGTTTCACCTCAGATTGTTGCCGCTGTTTTCAATTATTTTGGGTCCCCTGTTTCCCTTTTCCGGAGGTGTGGATCTGTGGATCCCTCCGCCCCGCTGGTCACAGAACCGGGCTGAACCAGCCCGTAAACTGCTGACACTATGATAATTTGGAAAGTTTTTCAAAAAGTATAGACATTATGTTCTGAAAGAACATATCATTTATCTATTTTAAAATTTAAAATATTATTCATGATCTGATAGATATTCTACCACAATGACTCCTTCGGGAGACAAGAATTAAGCCTGACAGTATTTGCCTGTACTAGAAATACAACAAACCCTTCTCACTAGCAAACGTGCACTTGTGCTAACTGCTGTGCAAAATCTGTACAAATTAAAATGAAAAGTAAGAATAAAGCCAGGGATAGTGTTGTTGGCATTCTGAGCATATAAATACCATGAAGATATAGAAAGTACTCACAAAACGTGCTTTCACTCTTTTAGGAAGCTCTTCATCTAGAGTATAGATTTCTTCTCTCTTCATTAGTATTTCAGAACCATCCTCAAACTCAACCTAATTAAAAAAAAAAAAAGACTATTTAAAAAAAAATCATGACTTAACCCTGGGAAGTTTCTGGGAATGTCTGAATAAAAATGCATCTACAAGCAGAGAAGATTTGAACATAATTTCTATTTTAGTGAAATTAACATAAAACAGAAAAAAAATATTATTTCTTAGAATCTTCATTAGACAAAAAAAAAAAAAAACATCTAAGCAAAGAGACTTCAAAATCAACACCGACACACACACAGTAAAATAAAGTTTATTAGGAATGCAGAGCAGTGACAACACAGACAAAATAATTTTGTAGAACCGATGTATTAAAACGTCTTCATGTCATTTTAATTTGCCTCATTTTTCTTTCCTTGCTTCTAATAAATAAATAAATAAATTTAATTTTAACATCCTGTGCTTCAAGGTTGAGGAAGACGATGTCAAAAGAAACTAAGTATGAGTGACAACTAGGGAAATAGCAGTTAACAGAATTTTATTGAATCTGATGGAATTTCTTTAAAATGCTCTGTTCAGAAGATGAAAAGCTTTATCATGCTTAGGTTTAGATTTAATCCAACATGAACCCCGTTAGCAGAAAATGAGAAAGGAAATGTAACTAGGTGTGGGGAATGTTAAAATGCTGAGGCTTTGAAGCATTTATGCCTTTTCAGTAGCTGCTGATTTTTTTTTCATACTTCATCTAACAATTGTGACTTTCAGCTATTACCTAGGACTGCAGTTTTAGTTCCTACAGAAACTGCACTTAAAAGTTTGGCAAGAACTTAAAAGAAATCCCATTCCATTTAATGATACCACTTGAATGACAACAGACTTATATTGGAATAATAAATCCAAATGCAAATATATAAAAACATTACTGAAGTATTATCATAGATAAATCTAAAAAATCATGTATTTGAAGTTGTAGATGGAGTGGATTTTGTAGGTCCAAATTAAAACCTTGCCTTGACTAAGAGTGTCAGATTAATTTTAACACTGAAGAATCCAATAGAGTATATCAAAAGTATTGCCAAAAGTAAGGGTACGTACAGGTACTGTAAGGTATACGTATGAACTATTAACTTCTTTAAAAGCAAGATCTCTTTAAAAACAATTTAAAAGGGATGCACAAATCCAGAACACATTTAAAATCCAAAGAAAAGTCCTCAGAGCACAGATGGGTAAAAAAATCACAGAAGTCATGTTTTCCCCTCTGTTCCTGTTACTAACCCTATAGGCCAAGTCAGAGAGTGGTACTCTAGAGGAACCAACCTAACGGTCCCTTTGGCTTAAGCTTGTTTAAAGATGGCCATTTTATTACTTTTCAACATTATCTGTGAGCAGACTTTCTGTTTTTCCTGCTCTTTACTGCATAGTACATTTCATAGTATGTTTTTGCCTCGCATCTGCAGTATAATGCTTGTTATGCATCACCAGTGAAAGAATCAGGCAGGAAATAAACTCCCTTGGTTCCATGCAATGAGAAAATTAATGGGCAAAGACTTTTGTTTTAATAGCAGGGTAAAGAGGGAGGAGACTGCTTCATACCACAGAATCTTACAAGTTTGCTGTGTGAAATACGTTCAGCTTTGCAACTAGAAGGTTTTCAGCTATAATTCAGCATGAAACTGCACTGGAAATGTGTTTGCCGTAATGTTAAAGGCAAACATAAGCACTTCTCTAAGACTTCCAGTTGTTTTGTGATTCATGCAAAATACAAAACCATTGTCTCTAATAACTCAAACTTATTTCAGACTGCATATACTTCATCATCAATCTATTTTATCCAGCAATTTATTTTATTTGCACTTCTGCAGCTGTACTGTGTCTGTGTACCACGTTATTCTCTCCATGAGATTTTCTTTCATCACAACAACAAGATTAAAGGATCAGTGGAAAATGTAGAAAACAACAGGGTGAATAATTTAATCATCTCAAATGAAAATCTAAAATGAACACTGAAAACAATCATACCTACATTAAAAATGACATCACATAGGTAGACCTCATTAACAGTTTCATTTGGAAGAACACCTACTTCATTTGCAGGTATAACTCTGCTTGGGGATTGTGTGGGGTAACTGGATGGCAAATGTTAAGCTAGATGACACGATTTCTGGTACATTTTGTCATAGCTCCCTGCATGCACAAACACTGTCAAATTCTGTACAAATGTCTCAAGAACATGAGAACAATTCACAGATTTATCTGTATTTGGATATTTGAACATATTTGTTGTATCAGATGACAATTGTTTCAGACACTCGTTTTCAGTCTCTCCTTTTGTGGTACAATATAAGAGAACATGAAAGAGTAATAGATTCTTTTGGTATGAGAATCTCAAGTGTCCAACAGAGATCAACAGTGTGAACAGTGTGCATGTATGCATGTGTCCTGGAGGCTGTTGTTGGAAACCACATACAAATAGGAAACACTTCTCATGTGTCTTGGAGTTAGTCTTGCAACTTGCATGTCACAGACTTTCTGTAATCTATGGTCATGTTTGGCAGTCCTGTTATACAGATTAAAATGCTTGCAAAATTTCAGAAATTCCGTATAGTACAACTTGGACACCCTTTAATTTTTGCTGTTTCCCCAGTTTCTTTAAAAAGTTTGTTTTGTTAAAAGCATTTCACAATAGTCTCTAATGCTTATTATCCACTTCTGGTTGTTCAGGTTGGCAGAGATGAGGTCAAACAGAGAAGCCTGAGGGCTATTAAAAGGAACTTGAGGGTTTGGGGACAGTCAGTCGGAGGATTGGAAGTGCAGGTACTGCTTTCCTTGATCCCTTAAGAGGAAAATGCTGAGAGGAACAGGAAAACCCACCTGAGCAACACATGGCTAAGAGACTGGTACCATCAGAGGAATTCTGATTTATTAATTTCTTTATTTTTTTAAATCAGAGGTTTATTCAGCACCAAAGCTACCGGAGAAAGATGGGATCCACCTGTCTCAACAGAGGAAAACAAATAAAAGCAGGCTTGCTAGAGACGAGCCTAAAGGGTGGCATGCCAGGGATGTGGGTGAGACAATAGCCCAGCTGAAGTGCATCTTCACCAATACACACAGCACGGGCAACAGGAAGAGCCAGAAGATATTGCGCAGCAGAAAATTTAGTCACAATCAGCAAACACAGTGGGATCATTTTCATGACTGGAGTGCTGCAATGGGGGGCTGTAAGCTCTTCAGGAGGGAGTGTTGGCGGGGTGACTCTCCATGTTAGGAAGTATTTCAGTGTTGTAAAGCTCAATCCTGGGAATGACAAGTTCCAGTCCTTATGGGTAAGGATCAGAGGGAAGGCCAATGTGTCTGATATCCTGGTGAGAGTCTGTTAGAGAACACCCAACCAGGCTGAAGTGACAGATACAATGTTTTACAAGCATGGGACAGAAGTCACACAATCACTAGTCCTTGTTGTTGCGGGGGACTTCAATTTACCTGACATTTGCTGGAAATATAATACGATACAGTGGAAGCAAACTAGGAGGTTCCTGGAGTGTGTGGAAAACAACTTTCTGAAACAGCTGGTAAGAGAACAGGGGAAGCTTCCTGCCAGACCTGCTGCTCATGAACAGAGACCAGCTGGCTGGATATGTGGTGGATGAAAGCTGTCATGGGCAGTGTGATCATGGATGGAGTTCTATATTCTTGGTGAAGTCAGGACTGGGGGCAGTAAAACTGCTACCTTGGACTTTGGTGAATAGGTCTAGGATACTGGTTGTAACAATTGCTTCAGAGTCAGTCCTGAAGGGCAAAGAGGTCCACGAAAGCTGGACTTTCCTTAAGAAGGAAATCAAATCGCCAAGCTACTGTCAATGATATTTGACAATCAAGTGAAGTCCTTGGTGACTAGAAGAAAGACAACATCACATTCCTTTTTAAGTAAAGAGTAAGGGTAAAAAGAATGACCTCAGGAACTACCGACCTGTCAGTCTCACCTCTGTGACAGGAAAGATAAAGGAGCAGATCCTCCAGACAGGGAGATGATACAGGAGAACCAGCATGGCTTCACCAAGGGCGAATCCTGCTTGATCAATCTAGTGGCCTTTTATGATGATGTCACTGCATCAGTGGACAAGGGAAGAGCACATGATGTTATATATCTGGGCTTCAGTTATGCCTTTGACATGGTACCCCACAACATACTTCTCTGCAAATTGGAAAAATATAGATTTGATGGGTGGATGGTTCAGTGGATGAAGAACTGGCTGTAGGATTGAGTCCAGAGAGTGGTGGTCAATGGCCTAATGCCTGGACTGAGATCAGTGATGAGTGGTGTCCCACAGGGGTCACTGCTGGGACTGACTCTTTATTGTCTTCATCAATGACACACTGATGGGATCAGGTGAGCTTCAGCAAGCCTGCAGATGACATCAAGCTGTGGGGTGCAATCAACACACCAGAGGGAGAGGATGCCAGCCAGAGGGACCTAGACAGGCTTGGGCACTGCCCTGGTGAACCTCATGAGGTTCAAAAAATCCAAACACAAGATCATGCACCTGTGTCAACGCAACCCCCACTACCAATACAAGGTGAGGAATGAAAGGATTGAGCATAGCCCTACCAAATAAGACTTGGGGGAACTGGTGGATGGGAAGCTGGAGATGAGTCAGCAATGTGCTCTCGCAACCAAGAAAGCCAATCATATCCTGGGCTGCATCAATAGAAGCATGGCCAGCAGGGCCATGGGAGGCGATCCTGCTCCTCTACCTAGTGCTGGTGAGATTTCACCTGGAGTACTGGGTCCTGATGCGGAGTGGAGTCCTGAGTGCAGGAGAGACGTAGACCTGTCGGAACGTGTCCAGAAGAGCCACAAAAATGATCCAAGGAATGGAATACCTCTCCTATGAAGACAGGTTGAAAGAGCTGGGACTGCTCAGCCTGGAAAAGAGAAGGCTGCAAAGTGACTTGATTACAGCCTTTCAATATCTAAAGGGGAGGTACAGAAAAGAAGGGGACAGACTCTTTAGCACGGTCTGTGGTGACAGAACAAGGGGAAATAGTTTGAAATTTAAAGTGGGTAAATTTAGGTTGGATATAAGAAAAAAATCTTTTACAGCAAGAGTGGTGAGGTGCTGGAACAGGTTGCCCAGAGATGTAGTTGATGCCCTGTCCCTGGAGACTTTCAAGGCCAGTCTGGATCAGGTCCTGGGCAATGTGATCTAGCTGCGCATGTCCCTGTTCACTGAAGGGGAGCTGGGACTAGATGACCTTTAAAGATCCATTCTAACTCTAAGAATTCTATGATTCTATCATAAATGCACAGGAACAGGCTGTCTCCATGTGCAGGAAGATGAGCTGGTGGGGAAGAGGTCACATCTCAAGTACCGCATTCAGTTTTGGGCCCCTCACTAAAAGAAAGACATTGAGGCTCTGTAGTATGTCCAATGAAGGGCAACAAAGTTGGTGAGGGGTCTTGAGCATAAGTTTTAAGAGGAGTGGGTGAGGGAACTGGGACTGTTTAGTCTGGAGGAGAGGAATCTAAGGGGAGACTTCATCTTCCTGTACAACTACATAAAGGAGGTTGTGGTGAGGTGGGATCAGTGTCTTCTCCTAGGTGACAACAATAGGACAATAGTGACCAGAAGTTGCACCAGGGGACGTTCAGGTTGGATATTAGGAAAAATTTATTCTCAGGAGGCCTGGGTGCACACCAAAAGAGGCTATCCAAGGAAGGGATACGTTCATGAAATGTGTAGATGTGGCATTTAGGGATATGGATTTGTAGGCATGGTGGTGATGGATCGATGATTTGATAACCTTACTGGTCTTCTCCAAATTTAATAATCCTATGCTATGCTGAGGAACTGCAAACCCTACTAACATCCTTATGCTAGTCTATTTTCCATTAATTACGCTATTTTTATCATGTTGTCTAAGAAGTCCAAAATAAGACAAAAAGCTCATTCTTTACTATTTTGGTTTTAAACAACCACATTAATCTAATCTCACAGTATTCCTTAGAAGACCAAGTGTTTAGAAGATTAAATGATTAGAAGATTACTGTTACTGTAGAACAATAATCTTTGTATTTCATTAAAAAAAAAAAAAACAACAAAAAACAAAACAAAAAAAACTTTTCACTTTCACAAAATAATATATCTTCTAAATATAAGCAAAAGGGGAACATTTAGAGACTAACTCAAGGGATCAGGCATTTGAAGACCTGAGTTTGATTGCAAGTCATTGGCAAGCTGAGAAGGTCAATGCAGCATATCATTTAGTCTCCCTTTGCCTTAATTTATCTACAGATATAATAGCAAATTTACCATTTTTGTACAGTAATGTGAAGCCTTCAGATGAAAAGAGTTACGTAAGTGAAAATGATTATATATATATAAAAGAAATGTACCTCGATTCTCATTCTTCCAGAAGTACTATTATTATTGTGATTGTTTTATTGCAGTTTATACCATTCACTTGGGTACTCAAAGCTGCTGAATGATTTTTTCTCAAAGGCAAGTACAAAAAAAAAAAAACGATTATTGTGTCTCTGAAATCAGAAGTCAGCTTTTTAGCCTTAAAAAGCTTTTAAAGCTGCAGTGTTCAGTTTCATTTTGCCTTTGCTAAGGATAAAACGCTCCTTAGATTATGTGTTAATTAATTCAAAGTATCTTACACAAATGGAAGTGGAGCTATTTTCACTCTTCTTTTTACTGTCTTTCTTTCCATCCTTTCACAAAATGCCTGGGGCACATTGTGGTCACAAACTAATAATAGATTTTATCTCATTAATAATGTAATTACCTGAAATCAAATAAATAAATAACTGATTTGGAGATAGCAAGTAAATGACTTGGAAAAAAATTACTATTTCTCTTAATATTCTACCTGTTCACCTTACAAAATGAAGACTACTGACTGAGTTCTATTAAATAACCTTTTTTTTTTTTATTTCATAAGATCAGGCAAAACCTCAACTCAGAAGAAATGCATAGTACTAGTTAATGTTTTAGACAGCATTATGTGCTGGTTTAAAGGCATCAGCAGTTTACAATTTAGTCCATGCTCCTGCAGTTCTGAAGTTGTGGTCTGCCACTCCAATGCTAGAGCTGAATAAGCAATAAAGACATCTCAAAAATAGGCATCTGGTAATAAATATAGACACTCACCTGATACATGTGAGCTGTGTTTGGTCCCAGATACTTTGCACCATACAGCTTTCCATCAGGCCACTTCACTTGAACAACCTCTCCCTCTGCAGGTGGGCCCAGCTTTAGGCAATCTCTGCTCTATTTACAAAGAAGGATGGAATCTCACGTCAGGGAGTGAGCTAATACACTTTGAAATTACCAGTAAGCTGCTTCTTACAACTTGATAATTGGAGAAGATTTATTACCATGTGTGTTTCAAGTTTTATAATCCTGCTAATGGGCTAACAGAAGATACTGTTAGCCCTTATGAAAATGAAATACTGACCAAAGAAACTCTCTTAACAGCTTGATGCTGCATTGGCAAGGCACCATATGCATAAATCAGATAGCTATCAGCAACTGTGATACATTTCCCCAAATTAATTTTTGTCACACATTGAAAATAAAGATCACTAAAGAGCAATTGAATATGCGCAACAATTTTCTTTACATATTCAAATAACTCATGTTTTGTTAATTGCAGCACAATTTTGCTAGATGCTAACTTTGCTGACTGAAACATGCAGTTATAGATCAAACTATAAATGGTGAGAATGTCAATGAGTTCTTTGCAAAGCTGATGGAGAAACACAGGAATAGTCTAAATACGCATGATGAAGAACAGGTGAGGTTTTCTGTTTGGCTTGTTATTTTTCAGGAGTTACAAAACACGTTTTTTTCCTGTGTTTTGGTAAATTTTGTGCCTGATTTGTTGAGAATGTCAGAGCAGCACAGTTTATACTTGCTATGGTTTCTTTTCCCTCACCTGGTTCAGGTCTGACCTGAATAACTTATGTGCAGAGCATACCGTTCATATCAGAAACCAGTATGATGGACATGGGAAAGACCATGCCAGCTCTGTGCTCACCGATTCCTTTGAAACCACCTGCGACAAATATTCACCCCCCCAGAAGGCATTTGTACTTTGTAGTGACTACTTCAAAACACTTGTGATGCAGATTAGAGCTAGTTTAATGGTTTTCTCCTAGAGGTGAGAGGAACTACTCAGTTCATGCTATCTGAGCTCACTGCTGAGAGGCAAAACAGGAAGGGAGAAGAAAGAGCCAAGGGCTCAGATGCAAGGACTCAGGCACAAGGTTCTTTGGAATCTGGTGTTATATCAAGTTGCTGTGGTACTTTCACTGTTTTCAGTCTTACATTTATATAGAATAATTACCAAAATGTATTGTTGGGTTCACCTGCCTCTTCTGACTGAGGCCAGGGATTATGACAAAGAACGTAAAATGTGGGAGCAAAAATGCACTACAGCAATCCTTACTGGAGTGTAATCTTGTTACAATACTGTATTAGCCCAATCCAAGCCTGATAAATTGTCTTTAATCACATATATCCATGAAATTGATTCATCTCATGAGAAAAGCAGAATAATGCTGGGCTTTTGCATTCTTGCAAAACAGATAACAACACTGTCTGTCTCTAATGTCTCTCAGGAGCTCTAAGACATATCATCTGTTTGCCTGAAAAGGGCTTTTATGACAGACACAGAATGATATGTCCTTCTAGTATCACCAAAAATCCAATGGGTCCACCCACTTATGGGGTTGGAAATGGCATTCCAGTACTACCCTTCTCAGTATTTCCACAAGAAAGAGAGAGGAAGTTTTTTTCCTTGGTGATGACTGTGAAGATGTTCAGTAACATTATTATACTTATTATACTTTTCCCTTATCTATTCCATATATAAAAAATAATTTTAAAAAAGTCTTGATAAACTGTCTTGAAACAAACTTTTAAAAGGCATCATGGAATATTGCAATTTTCCTTAAAACAAACAATCTATCAGCAATATCAAGCCAAACATTAATTTTCCAAGAACAAAAGTCTTTCATGAATTGGTCCCTCTGTATCTTGCAGAAGAAAAAAGTCTCACAGATTCTCTACATCGGCTAATGGAATTGCTCACATGGCAAATTAACAGTTCCCATGCAAAAAACTAAGGAGAACTGGAACTCTGACACAGACTCATCCCTCATATATATAACCAAAGTACCTTACTTTATGGAACAACATTTGGGAAACTCATACTAAAACATTTAAGCTGATTATTACTGACAGTTCCTAACTTTTCTTGTATTACAGCAGACTATTTAAAGGTTCTACCTTTTTACCATAAAAATAATTCTCATCATTTTCTTCTGAAGGCATGACGAAACCTAGTTTTTAGACTGCCAAAACTAACAAAACGCAACCTCACTCTTCTCAGTTGTATCATTAAAAGTTGGGCATAAGATATGGCAATCTCTGAACATTCTCATAAGCCAGATGTAAGTAACATACACTTCACAAAGTCTCACAGATATTCAAAGACTTTCATTATAAGCAAAAACTTGTAGAGAATAAGAATTCTTAAACTTTTTTTTGAAAAACAGGCCGTATTTTCTGACTTCAGAAACATATGTTTTGATATTCATGACATACACTGAGCTAGAACAGTAATCAATCCATTAGTAATAAATGTTGGAATGATAAATAACGTTTTTTTATGCCTACCACTGTCGAAGAAATTTTCTTACGTTTTTGTTTCCCCTTTTGTTTTTACCACAGTGACTGAAGAATACTTTAGTTCATAAAAGCTGAACAGAGTATCTGTAAGTACTAGCTCTAGTTGCACCATCATGGTGGTGATAGTTGATACCAACTGAATAGGAGAACAAATATGGACCCACACTGAGAAATAAGGAAAAAAGGTGAGAACAGAAACCATAAACTGAGAAGTTGTGAGATTCCAACAATCCGTACTGCAGCCACTGACACCTGGAGAAAATATCTTTATTTATTTTAAAAAATGAATAAATATGTTCAGAAGGCTTTCCTAAATCAAGGCTAGAAAGTACATATTTAAGATGAATTTAAGAACTTCTGAGATTTCTCCAAAACTGTCAGAAGCATATATCCCCTGGATAACTACAGTTTTATTTGGCAATGTTTTTTTTTACAATTATCGTATGAATTCAGCTATTTAAAAATCAGCAATTATTTTGGAAATTATAAAAATGTAAGAGATTTAGATTTCTTCTATTTTTTATTCAAAGCAACCATACTGAAAACAACTCAATTCAAAGGAAGCACAAAATTAAACCCTGTGATTCCTGAAGTCAACAAGGCTAAATTTCAGTACTGCTGAGCAAGTCATCTTCTACAGGTGTGGCTCATCTCTTCAGGCACTGACGGGCTTAGAGAAGCTGGAAAGTAAAATTGATGGCAGAAAGGATACTGAAGTCTTTCATGTAAAGATTGTAGTAGGAAATGATGAAATTATTCTGTGACTGCAGATATCAGCCGAAGTTAATTTACTGAGTCTCTGGTCTGACAGAAAGCTAGATAGAGAAAAAAATCTTAGAAAGGAAAATAGAGCATAGCTGACACAGAATATATTAGCACTTAATGGGGGAAAAAAAGTTTGAGGAATGCAGCAGTTGAATGAAAAAAACCTAAAGACTGCAATGCATCATTTAGTAACACTTTCAAAATCTCTCTTTTCTGTTTAAAAATGTGGGGTTTTTTGTATGTTTAAAAACCTGAAAAGACACTCTCAAAAATATTTCTGATCTTCAGAATTGCTCCAGAATTCAGCATCAATTTTTCATAAGCTTGTACAACATTCTGCCTTTCAACTGTCAGCTTAAAGCACGTCTGATCTTTCAAGAGCTTAACTGGAATCAAATCCTTCCAAACTTGATTTAGTCTTAGGTGAATGTGGCATGTGGTTGGTGGAGAAGGGTCAGTTAACTCCCTCAAAACAGTAAGATCATGGACAAAAATGTAAACACTGTATTTGAAATCATAGCAATAACATCGGTGATTTTATCTCTTGAACTTATTTGAAAAAAGGTAAAATGCCCATATGGCATCTTGTAGAGGAGATATAAATCTAGGAATACTCTAATATTAAAAAATGTTCCTGGAAAACAATCATGACAAAATGCCAATATTTGTTTGATCAAATCACAAGACAACTTCATCAGATCACCTGGAGTTTGTTATTTATTTTGATTATGTGATCCTGCTCTGATTCGAGAGAGGATACAGTGGTGAAGGTCTCTGATTTGAACCCCCAGCTGACAAGCTCTATCAGTACGTCTTCTTTTAAGAACTGCATACTGCCTCCCACTCATACTTCCGCATAGGCATTCTGTGGAACTTCTATCAGAATGAAGGAAATCAATTTCCATCTTGATCATATCAGAAGACTGTCTGAAGGAGACTACTAAACTCAGTTCTCAGAGCTGTGCTCCTACAGTGAGTTTAGTAAGGGAGAGCAGAATTAAATATTGCAATATAAAATACATTTCCAATCAGTAAGTGACAACCTCTTCAGCTGATTAATATTTCTGGAAACCAGTTTTCCCCGAACATAGTCCTAAAAGAATGATATATATATAACTAGAAAAGGAAGATTAAGATGTTCCATTGTGTACAAAAATAAGGCCAAACGTTTGTAAAGATATTGAGAAGAAAAAAAAAAAAATCGATCTATTTTATACAGTCTAAAGTGGAAATATCATCTGTGAGAAGTTCACTAAGTTTATACATATTCACCACCAACCTGTATGAATAAACATCAATTGTTTTCAGCTTCGCTGTTTCACAAAATCAGGGTTTACATTTATGAACAGGTATAACTTAGTGTTTTTTATTAGATATGTCCTTTCACATATATAGAATAGCCTCTTCCTTCTCTGAACCATTCATTCTTCTGCATCTTGCTAAAGTGTTTTAAAGGCTGCTATACACATAGCTTTCTTCTATGCACTTCCCATTAGGGCATTTCTACAAAATCCACACAGTGTGGAGCATCAAATTGTAAACAAGCATTAACCATGACAGCAAACATAATCAGGTGGACACCTCTTTATTTCCTAACTGAGTCATTCCTATGACATGAATCTCAGTAAATCCAAATTTATTTTTCTCAACACTAATAGAATTGCTTATCTGATTAACTAGCAGGCACAGTGCTGAACTCTGGTATTTTTTAAATCTCCAAGCTTTAGACTGTATTCTAAATAAAATATTTTTGTTTGTTTAAATTGTATTTTAATCACTGCATTTTTCTCAATGTCACTTAGCAAAATTTT